AGGGGGACAAAACATAAGAGATTCTTAAATATGGAGAACAGACAGAGGGTTGCTGGAGGGGTTGTGGGAGGGGGGATGGGCTAAATGGGGAAGGGGCATTAAGGAATCTACTCCTGAAATCATTGGTGCACTATATGCTAACTAACTTGAATGTAAATTGAAAAAATAAATAAAAATAAAAATAGAATCCATTTTATGCCTTCACTCTGATTATTTATTTTCAGTGAAACACAACTGGGAGACCATGACAGAAGCAATTCAGAACCACATCAGCTCTCTAAACTGGGGCCACAGGTTGTCCTTGAGGGAAAAGTCTGTGGACTATGTCAATTCCTATGGAGAATTTGTTGAACATCATAGAATAAAGGTACTGTTTGTTTATTGCTTTTCTTTACTGTTGCTGGAACTTGCCTTGATCTAAAAACTCCACGTTGCATGTTAAGGGCTGTCGTTGATGTATGCACACACACGGCCTTGAGTGCACTCGCTTCTTCCCCAGTGTCGTTGATTCCACACATCCTGCCGAATTGAAGGAATTGCCTTTCGAGAGAGCCCTTAATTTGAGGTTATTATTTGCCTTTTGATTTTATTACTATCTTAAAAGAAAACGTTTAGACTAGGTAGTTCAAAGTTTAAAAGACTAAAACTAAAAATTTTAGCAACGTAATTCTTTTTTACAATGAAACCTTGTGTGGGGGGGATGGGAAAAATGGAATAAGTAAGTCACAGGGATAAAAGGTACAGCCTGGAGAATAGAATAGAATAGCGTGGTGTTGTATGGGGACCGATGGCAGCGACACTGGTGGTGAGCACAGTGTAACCCATGGACTTGTGGAATTGCTGTGTTGTACACCTGAAACTAATGTGACATTGTGTGTCAATGGTACTTCAGTAAAAACATAATGATTAAAAAAGTAAGAATAAAATGAAACCTTAACCAGGACTCCAATATATTATTCATAAAAGCATTAATAAAAGTAGCACGAAAATGAGCATATTTTATAATTTTGTAATGTTTACGTATCGTAAGATCGGCACGTAAGGAAAATGAGATCATTTTGATGAACACAAAAATTTTAAATTGGAGTTATAAAAGACCATATAACCCTCAACACCTAGTTTTCTTTTGAACTCTGCTTTCATAGCCCAGTGTGCAGTGTTCTTGGTGGGATCTGAGGTTATTTTGTAGTCCTTTGTTATCTCTGGAAAGGTATGAGGCGGTCCACTCAAAGCCGCCCCTTTTGAACCCACGTGCTGTCCAATTTGAATTCCATCAGTCACATGAAACATAACAGAAATATGGGTCGGGTAGTTTCATTTCTCAGATTGTGACATGCCCAGCACATTTGGTTGAATAGAAGCCTGTCGTTCACAACCGTAGCTGCCTCTTGCATGCTTCCTCATTTACTGATAATCGGTGTCTGCTCAGTTAATTTCAGGTTTCTGTCCCTCCACCCCCACAGCCTGCGCTTGTCTGTCTCTTTCCGGACCCACCTGAGCAGGTGGCTGTCTCCAGGCGGCCCGGCCTCCATCCCACTATTTAAACCACCTTCTTGTTTAAACACCTTCATTGGTTTTTGAATTTTTTTGATGAAAATGTATTTATGAATTATGTAATTGAAAATATGCCAACAATGAATAACCTTTGCTGGTTCCCCAAAGCCAAAATCTTTAAATATATATATATTTAATGTCTATTCATTTTTGAGAGATAGGGCACCAACAGGGGAGGGGTGGAGAGAGGGGGAGACACGGAATCCGAAGCAGGCTCCAGGCTTTGAGTTGTTAGCACAGAGCCCGACGCAGGGCTGGAACCCACGAACCGTGAGATCATGACCTGAGATGAAGTCTGACACTCAACCAAGTGAGCCACCCAGGCACCCCCATAGCCAAAATCTTTAGAATGGCATATAAATGTGTTCACATTTGGCACTAATCTATTTCCCTTCGCCGTGACACAAACCCGCCTTTCCTGCCACTTTCTGGCCACTTGCTGTTTCCCAGACACCAGCTGCTTTCAGGCCTGTGGGCTTTTTATATGCCCTGTTCTCTCTGTGGATTTCCATTCTTCCCAGATCATTTCACTTTCTTGTCTCCACTTGAAATATCACCACCTTTGAAGCGTCCTTGGCTGGCTTTGCAGCCCACTTCCACTGGGCTCTTCTGGTTGATGTTTTGTAAAGACTTCTCTTTTCTATGTTGGTGTTCATCGCCCTGCATTATTAGTTTTACACGTCCGCTCCTGTTGGAAGGTCTGTAAGGGTCGTAACTGGTTGTCCAGAGTGTCTCATACTCTACAGTGTGTGTTGAAAAAGGTGAAATTTACTTTCCTCTCTTCCAGGCAACCAATAGAAAAGGACAGGAAACTTCCTACACGGCTGCAAAATTTGTCATAGCAACAGGCGAAAGGCCACGGTATTTAGGAATCCAAGGAGATAAAGAGTACTGCATTACTAGGTAAGATTAAATAGGCAGTTGTAACTGGAAGTTGCGTTACGTTTATGTTTCCAATTTGTTTAGTCTCTGATATCGTTTCACAGAAGATTTGAATTGATGACACATAAAAAGTATAACACAAGAAGCTAAGTGGTTAACATCACGAAGCCAAGAGAAAATAATGCTAGGTGAATAATAAGTCCAAACTGTGGGACAAATACAGGCTGTATGATTCTAGGTGATTGCTCATCGAGGTCTGGGAATTTCGTGGAGGCCGAAGCAAGGAAGGGAATGCAAATAGCTTTAGGGTTTAGTGTCTATATGATAATGAACCAGTGGATCAGGAGAAGTGTGGCTGTTCTTAATACTGAGATTTCACAGTAACTATCCCTGGATGGTCATAAAGAGGACATTGTATAACACATTATGGTACAACGACTTTCAAACTTTTTTGAGCAGATGCACATTAAGAAATGCATTTTTCGTTGTACTGTTCAGATTTACACACACACACACACACACACACACACACACACACTCAAACCATGTTTCTTATCACGTATAATGTTGTCTAATGTTTTCTATTCTGTTTCATTTTTAAAATACCTTCACTTGTGATCCACTAATTTGATTTTGAAAGAACTACTGTGGACACTATTATAAACTCCAAAAGGCTGATTCTGTTCATGTTTCTTCCTTCAAACACCACGCTGCAATGCAGCCAGACCTCTACACATCGAAACCTAAATAATTCGTTTCATTTAAAAAAATCTTTTTTTTAGATTTATTTATTTTTGAGAGACAGAGCGCAAGTGGGGGAGGGGCAGAGAGAGACGGAGACACAGAATCCGAAGCAGGCTGCAGGCTCCGAGCTGTCAGCACAGAGCCTGACGCGAGGCTCGAACCCACGAACCATGAGATCACGACCTGAGCTGTAGTCGGACGCCCAACCGACTGAGCCACCCAGGTGCCCCTATAATTCATTTCATTTTTATTGCCTGGGCGTTCCTCTTGTTTTTATTTTTCAGTGACGACCTTTTTTCTCTACCTTATTGCCCTGGCAAAACATTAGTAGTGGGCGCGTCTTATGTTGCTCTGGAATGTGCAGGAGTTCTTACTGGCCTTGGCTTAGATGTCACGGTTATGGTGCGCTCAGTCCTTCTTCGGGGCTTTGATCAAGAAATGGCAGAGAGAGTGGGCTCCTACATGGAACAACATGGTGTTAAGTTCTTAAGAAAATTCATACCTGTGATGGTAAGTCTGAAAGGCATTTGGAAATTCTTTTTATTTTTAGTTTTTTACTCTCTCTTCAGTTATTTTATTCTACCGGTCCTTAATTCATTTCATGAAATAAATTAGTCTGTACTCAGTAAGACACCTTAAAGTTAGTGTTCCCACCTCCTGGTCTACAGAACTGACCTCCACATGTCCCACCGTCCTCCCCCCATCCTTGCCCCCATACAGGAAGGTGTCCTTGTTCCTCTCAGGCCCTTGCCTATTTTCTCACCTTCTCTCACTTTCCCAGGGATGCCCCATCTTCAGTTAGCTG